GCATCCTGGGTGATGACGCGGAACTGCTGCAGAGAGTTGATGGGCGCCGCTGTTTGTGGTGATGAGCAGGTCAGCTCCTCCAGTTATGAATGACCTCGGAAGGCACACACAGAGACACTCCTACACAGTCAGGGTTAACGAACACAGAAGGGACAAAAGATATATCTACAAGCAGAAACATTAATGTTATTACACTGAGGTACTAAGGTAATACTATATTTGCTACTGTTCATGCACTGATGCATTGAAGATTAATAAAATAACAATAATAATAAAACATAGTAGTCAATATGATAATGGCAACGATACTAATGACAAATATAAATAAGAGAAACAATAATAAAAATGGTGATGATCTAAATAATGATAATTTGAAGAACAAAAATAGTAATAATATTAACAATGATAATGATAATAATAAAAAAAAAATTGAAATAATAACAATAATAATATTGACAATAATAACAATAGTGATAACAATAATAATAACAAAAACAATAATAATAATCATAATGACAATATCACAAATGATAATAAATATAATAACAAACAAACATAACACATAAAAAAAATACCAATAATAATACAAACAAAAATAATAGTTATAAAATCAATAAAACTCAAAAAATAAGATTACGAAAAATCTGACATAACAACCTGGCCTTTAATCCAATCATCTCAATATTCTTTAATCAATATTCTTTGATCTAATTATCTCAATATTCTTGATGGAAAATTTATCAAAGCCAAAGTCCCCTTAATATATATTACTGCAAATACAAATGTAGGTAACTGTAAGTGAATAATGTTAAGAAATATATATATATTACATGTATTGTATCATAGACTCACTCCTTTGCTCACAATCACACTGTATTGCTGATAATAGTCCGGTGTAAACAAATTATACAAATCTCATAAATTTGTGTAAAAGGTGGTATATAAACTGATATTATATCATTAAGAATTATAAGTATATATATATGTGTGTGTGTGTGTGTGTGTGTGTATAAATATATATATAAAAATAAAAAAATAAAAATATATATATATATACACACACACACACACACACACACACACATATATATATATCTATATAATATATATATATATATATATATATATATATATATATATATATATATATATATATATATATATATATATGTATATATATATATATATATATATATATATATATATATATATATATATATATATATATATATATATATATATATATATATATATATATATATATATATATACATATATATATGTATATATATATATATATGTATATATGTATATATGTATACATGTATACATGTATACATGTATACATGTATACATGTATACATGTATACATGTATATATGTATATATGCATACATGTATATATGTATATATGTATATATATATATATATATGTATATATGTATACATGTATATATGTATATATGTATACATGTATACATGTATATATGTATATATATATATATGTGTGTGTGTGTGTGGTGTGTGTGTGTGTGTGAGTGTGTGCGTGTGCGTGTGTGTTTATGTGTGTTGTGGTCTTTTTGAGTGTGTGTGTGTGTGTGCATATGCATATAACAGTGCATTACTGTGTGTGTGTGTGTGTGTGTGTGTGTGTGTGTGTGTGTGTGTGTGTGTGTGTGTGTGTGTGTGTGTGTGTGTGTGTGTATGTATGTGTGTGTGTGTGTGTGTGTGTGTGTGTGTGTGTGTGTGTGTGTGTGTGTGTGTGTGTGTGTGTGTGTGTAAATGTTTGTATGTGTGCATACTCACATATACTATGCATATCCATACAAATATATATAAATACATATCATACACAGTGTACCCAATAATGTATCAAATCATTAATAACTAAAGGAAAATTTACAACGTAACACACAGATATCAAAATACATAAAACGAAATACGAAGTCACGAAACATAATACAAATTTAAAGACAAAAGTTTTCATGTATCTTGAGCTTCCCTTTAATTAACATGTGTTCCCTTCAATATTTGGTTGTTCATATATTTACAGTGAATATACTGTCATCTTGTAATTCTAAATGTTATCACAGTCAACATTCATGTATTTTTCACATAATCCAAATCTTAACAACTTTTTTAATATTCATTCTTAGGTATAAAATAACAAAATTTTAAGGTTATTCATGTAATGTTCTGGATGCCTGTGTATATGTGTATAATCATGTATGTACATATATCTATGTTTCAGCTAGTCATTTTCTTCTTCAGAAATTATATAAATCTATTGAAAAAGACACTGAATACTACATATTTTACAACTGTTTTGTTAACAATCCTTGAAAAAAAAAATCAACCGAAACAATGTTTTCAAACATTAGAAAATAAATGCCAAATTCCCTATAAATAATAAAATAAATGTTTTCTAAATATGTGAAACTCAGATGTATTTGTTATGATTATGTAAAATTCATACATTTATGAAAAAAAAGGTTATGAATTTCATATTTTAAGTGTTACAGACATAAAAGACAATCTAATACTTATACATGCATACATACACACATAAATACATGCATACATAAATGTAAATATACTGTATAGGAACATGCCTGTGGGGGGGGTGGGGGTATGTGCACCTATGCCTATGTGTTTTATGAGTGAGTGCATTAATGTCTCTGTGTAAATGCCAGATGACTCTGATGTATGTGAATAATTATACAAACATAAATAATGCATAAAAAAGGAAAATAATCTATAATTGTTACCTATGGAGTATTCTCTTTATAAAAGATCCTCATTAACTTTAGCTAATAATAAAATCAAAATGATAAAAACAATAAATATAATAATAAAAAAATGATAAATAAAAATGATCTAGCAAATGCATGAATCTCTATACCTCAAAATTCTTGTACAAGTGTGAATTACTTCATATAAGTTCACCTGTGCATAAAACTGAAAATATATTTGTGTATCTATCTATAAACAGAGATAGAGGTAAAGACATCAATATCAATCGCTTTTTTCCCTTTCCCTTCTTTCAAAAGACTATGAAACAATATACAATTGATTACACAAAAATTATGAATACAAATAACCTAATAGAAGTATATATATGATAACTCTAGAGAAGTATATAAAAAGTGATCATGACTAACAATGAAAAAAAAAAAACAATAAAAAATAATAATAATAAATAAATAAATAAATAAATAAATATATTACAAATTAGATTAACTTCCTGAAGGCATGATATACACACCATGTCTACTACAATTTCATTTTATTGTATTAACACACAGATGACTCCACAAGGGCTTAGTTACCAAGGAGTGAACCATTAGTCCTACATATCAAAAATATTCACCCTTTTTCTTGATTTTAATAAAGTTTTTAAATTGTTATTTGTATTTTTATTGTTATTTGTAATCATACTGCCAGTAATAATAACAGTACCAATATCAATTGCATTAGAAAAAAATCCCAGAATTTTTTCTTGATTTTAATAATTTTTTAAAAATTATTTGTACTTTTATTGTTATTTGTAATCATATTGTCAGTAATAATAAGAGTACCAAACATCAATAGCATTAGAAAAAAATCCCAGAAATTTTTCTTGATTTTAATAATTTTTAAAAAATCATTTGTACTTTTATTGTTATTTGTAATCATATTGTCAGTAATAATAAGAGTACCAATATCAATAGCATTAGAAAAAAATCCCAGAAACCCAATGTGGTTGCACAGAGCCTAATAATTGATTCATTGGTACCTGAGCGTTTGTAAAGCCATCTGTGGGCCACATAATGCTTTTAAAATTACAGTGGACATGCGTGTACCTTCAGTTGATTGTTTAACATGAAATTGGCAGTCTATATACCAAAGATAACTGAAAATCTTTAAAAAATTGGATGTTATAGAATCCATTTCATTTTCCCACAAAAATGCATTAATCTTACTTGAAATATCAAATATCAATAAACCATACAATAATGACAACATAGATAATAATGATAATAATAGTTAACAATAACAATGACGATAATAATAATGATGATAATAATAATGATGATACTAATAATGATGATGATGATGATAATGATGATGATGATAATAATAATAATAATAATAATAATAATAATAATAGTAAAAGATAATAATAATGATAACAATAATAATATTACTCATAATAATAATAATAATAATGATAACAATCAAATCATAATACTAATAGCAATAATAATAATCATGATTATAACAATAATAACAATAGTAAAGGCAATAACATTAATAATCATATTAACAATATACATAATAAAAAAATAAATAATAATAATAATATCATTAATAATAATAACATGAAGGTGAACATGTGTCTCTATTCCTACAAACTAACAACTCAAAAGGTAACACTTACACAGAAAAACAAACAACAGCGAAAAACAAACACTCACACAGAAACCAAAGAAAAGGAAAAATAAGGGACGTCAGCAATATATTAATTGACAATCTTATTTGAGAGATTTTTTCTTTTTATCCTAAAATATCTGAGGGAATTTTTGAATGACGGAATCAAATAACTTTTATCGACGAGATGTAAATATGTAAATAAAAATTCCTTTCTTTTTAATGGTAATCTAAATAAAATAATTAATTGATATGTATGGTTGAAATATGAATACTACATTCTTAAAATATCACCGTTAATAAACTTATTTAGCATATGTCTTTACACCACAGATCCTAAATAAAATATAAGTATAAGTATAAGTATAAAATATAGGTACAAGTATCATAAATTTCTCTCAGTGATAAGAAAGTCAGTTTAGTTATTAGCAATATACAAAATGTAGAACACAATAAGGGATTGACATTACAAATAATACAAGTCAAAAAATATAAACAAGAAAAAAAAAAAAAATGTACTTTCACCATAGTAACAGAACAACAAAAATAATATCCAAGGTTTGAGCTTCAAGACAAAAACATCTTTATGATAAAAAACAAAAAACAAATACAAACTTAGATTTAATAACATACATTTATATAAAGAACAAAACAAAACAAAAAAAAGTTCCTGACAACAAACACATGACAGAAAATAAAAATAAAAAAGCTAATAGGAAAAATTCACACCTACTTACATGACACTGGAAAGCAAAAAACAGAGACAATTTTTAAATTTATAATATATCTTTTTTTACTTGACCAGTTCAGTCACAGTTTATAATCAAAGGCTGAGTCTTTCGGTGAGCAATCTATGCCAAATTTAACAACATTTGATTCATTTTTTCTTCTTTTATGTCATTCTCGTTTAGCCTGAGAACCGAACCATTATGGAGTACAGCCATCACTATGGCTCAAAGTAAAAGGGTAAATACAATTTCTTATGTTACATCATGTACATTTGCGGGGACTTAAATGTACTCCCAAGGACAGATGTTATATGTCGTAGTCACTCCAGACTACAATATTACAGTTATCAGGTTAATAAATAAATGATTTAATCTGACAGACTCGAGAGAACAAGAAGAATTTCAAAAATTGCTTCTAACCAATCCAAAAGCAAGCTGGCTTGGTTGCGATTCCTCGCCAAAAGTCACCTATCTCTTTGCTATCAGAAGAATACATTTATGATTATAAATTTGCTTGAATAAGAAGAGAATATTAAGTAAATAATTAAAAGCATATCTTTTATTACATCATGTACAGACATGATTATACAGTACATGCATATAACAGTGCATTACTGTATGTGTGTGTGTGTGTGTGTGTGTGTGTGTGTGTGTGTGTGTGTGTGTGTGTGTGTGTGTGTGTGTGTGTGTGTGTGTGTGTGTGCACATATGGAGTGTCTGTGTGTGCATGTGTGCAGAGTATGTGGGCTAGTGTGTGTGCGTGTGGAGTGTGAGTGTGTACGTGCATGTGTGTGTGTGTGCTAACTGCTTTCAAATGAATCCTTTACTCATGTATTATCAGAGGTTTAGTTATCATTCATTGGTTACTTTTATAATAACATAATATCTAATGAAATGTAAGTGAGTCAGTATCCTGTGTGTATGTGTGTGTGTGTGTGTGTGTGTGTGTGTGAGCATATATATGTGTGTGTGTGTGTGTGTGTGTGTGTGTGTGTGTGTGTGTGTGTGTGTGTGTGTGTGTGTGTGTGCACGTGCACGTGTGTGAGCATGTGCGTGTGTGCACTTATTTGCGTATGTACGTGTATTTGGTATAATCACGCACATTAACACAAATATCCACAAACACACACATAGAATATTAAACCTTGTCGTATTTAGAACATCTTTTTACAGCACCATTTACATGTATTTATTTGCTCACAGAAGGCCATGTGCAAGCAACAGAAGCCCCTCTACGGAATAATATAAAACTGACTCAAGAAGGAGCACATCTAAAAATTGCCACAGACACCACGAAAACATAAGAAAAAAAAAAAAAAACGAAAATTAAACAAAAGCTTTAAACGAGCACAGGAAGGTTTAACGATCTGCAAAGCCGAGGGGGGGCAAAATGGAGGAATGTCATTTTAGGAGGAGAAAAAGAAATGAGGTTAAACAAGTTTTTGAAAGTTATTTTGTAAAAGGGAGAGTTGCACATTTCAAACTAACAAAAAAAAGTGGGTTAGTTAGTGTACAGAGGAAATATCAATTTGCAATCTGCCATATCAGTACAAATGCAGAAAAAATACATATATTTGTAAATAAAACAAAACAATCTACAAGAAATGGTTAAATATCTAACTCCATAAGCTAAAGTTATTTAATAACATTTCTCCCTTATCTAAAATTTATTAAAATGTATATGTGAAGTATATTACAAATGTGTCACTAAATACTTTAGATCACCATTTAATAAAATCTTGAATTTTTTATCTCCGTAATCTTCACCAATTCATAATACACAAACCATTTATGAACAAATACAATATGTCAGACTCAACATCTCATAGAACGCAATAATAACATTACCTCGAATATTTAAAATGAAGGAAAGATTCAGAACAATCAATCACTTCAATTCATTGCCTGACTAGAAATTACCTTGAACTCCACACTCGCTAACAAAATGGATCGTAAGTAAACAAGTAAATAAACAAGTAAATTTCACAAAATACCAAACCTAACCCTCTCCTCCAAACTCAATTACCTTAAATAAAAACCCCCAAAATCACCCAAAAGCATCTTTAAAAAATACTCACTGGGCTCCAATCCATCCACCTTGACCTTTGTAACGTCCACGTGGGACTGCACGGGAACCACAATGGGGGACTGTGGGATCTCGGCCCCTGCGTACAGGACGGTGACGCGGTGATCCCCTGGTGAGGGAGCAAGGTACTCGACGGTGAAGGTCCCATCACCGTTGTCTTGGATGTCGATGGGGATGTCTTGGCCCTGGGCGTTGGTCAGGGCTATCTGGACATCTCCTGTAGGGTTTGGGATTGTATGGGTTAGACAGGTGTTATGACTGGAGGTTTTGAATTCTATTATAGTTTATCTGCTTGTTTTCTACTTATACGTAGATCAAAATGACGTGATGTAGTCACTCTATAAAATCCTGTGTTTTTCAATGCACAATCAAATTTCATAGGAGGTAATGCACTTTACAAATCCATTCTATAATCCATCTTATAGCATTCCGTCCTTTATTTCTTCCTAAGCTAGGGAAATCTGCAAGTACTACACTCTACATATATATTTTTACATTCCTAATTAGATGAGAGTAAATAAACAGATAAAAATACACTAAGAATTAATGTAACAACCATACTTAAATCAAAAAGAGTAACACCAAAACTAAAATCTTTACAAGCATCATTATCTATTCTAAATCATTCATTTCCAAACATCTACAACAACTCATCAAAAAAACAACTTCCTGGCAATATTCCTGACACTAAAATCTGAACTCCTCAATGCTCAAAAAATCACTGATAAGACATCTAATCTATCAAGACATCACACCTTAACTTTCCAAAGCATCAATGCCCTAATAACCAAAACCCTGACTTTTAAACTTCCTTAAAAACCACAAACCTGGTCCAGCTTCACGACAGTCAATGTTGAAATGTGTGGGTGTGTTGGATCTGACGCCACGCTCCACACCAGGTCCGAAGACCTTGACTGCTCCGGGATCAGTGGGTTCAGACACAAACACCCTGTAGGGGGAATTCTCGCAGGCAACTCCTCCATAGGCCACCTGTGGGTTCAGACATTTGTAAAATCCTTTAGCAATGTCAAATATTAATAGTATCATATATTATATTTCTTTAGTAACTTGAAAGTACTGGAATATGTTGTTTTACATATTGTATAGTTGTCTAATGTAATCTACTCTATGCAATAATAACAAATCTAAATAATTGTAAACCACTTCATTACCTTAAATTACTTATGCATTTATTACTAAAAAAAAAGAAAGAAAGAAAGAAAAAAAAACATACTGTAATCCTCAAAAATCAAGACACAAGCCTTCCTTACCTGAACTGTATGCTTGTTCCCTCGAGTAGGTTTGTAAGAGAAGTCATAGGTTCCGTTCTTGTTATCCTTAGCATCCAACTTCACCGGCTGGTAGTTTGCATCCATGACTGTGACATCTAGCGGAGCCTCACCGGCTGCTCTTGTGTCTACGTGGAAGTCTGCAGGCTTGCCAGAGACCACGCCATTCTTCTCCAGGCCTGGGCCCTTGCATTTCACCTTTGAATTCAAAGGAAAATGAGTTATGGGAGGAAATATCTGCAGATTGTGTGTGGATACTATTGCCTTTTCTAAAAACTGTTATGGAAGGGTATTTGTAGGCTACATATAAGAAGATTAAAAGTGCCTCTTCATTATATAAACTGTATATAGGACAATATTGAATCTCCAGTCTAATTCTGTGATATCTTATGGGATTTGATAAGATATAAAGAGAGTTAGACTCTTCCCTAATTCATGTGGAGTTTTTGAACACACCTTCTCGGGGTAATAATCCGTCTTAGGAAGAATTTGAGCAATGTACGGAGATCCAGGAACATCTTTGTTGTTGCAGAGGATGTGGAGAGCATACTCGCCAGGGGCCGTGGGGAAGTAACGCACGTCAGCCGATCCATCACCATTGTCATTACATTCAATCCTGGCCTGTGATGGTCCCTCTATACTGAAACCTTGGGAAAGAAAGAGGGGATGAGATAAAGGGGAATAAGGGAGGGGAAAAGACAGGAAAAAGGGGATGCACAGGTGGGAGAATGGATTGTTATATAAAGTTTAAGCCACATTCCCACAAAACACAAGTTTTACCAATTGCCGCAAAATAATCACTCACTTTGTATTACACATTTAAAAGATCAAAACACTTTCACTAATCAACAAAATTTAGAAACTTTACTCCCTCAGCTTAAATCAAAAGTGCCTTATTATGCTGCAAAGAAACTTTTTTCCAGGGATAAAAATGCAAAACAAATGAAAATGACAAATGGAGAAAAAAAAACAGCCCCCATCTAACTGAATAAAATACCTTACCTAAAGCACCAGTTTCTCCATTTGTCTCCACAGTAAAGAGGGCAGGATACTCTACAACACCTCCTTTCAGGCCAGGACCATAAGCCCTGATTTTGGTCTCCTTGTAAGGTCCTACATTTACCTGTAGTGATAGAAAGAGTGTAAAAGTTGCTCATCACTTCTTAGGCTGTTTGTTTTTTCTTCTTTTTCTTTGATAATCATAAAAGAAAAGGAAAAACATTTGCATACACATAATATATATACATATCTATCTATCTATCTATCTATATATGTATACACACACACACACACACACACACACACACACACACACACACACACACACACACACACACACACACATATTCATAAGATACATTCTTAGTGACCTTTCCAGCATCAACAATTATAATCCTCAAGTTGTCACCCACACATCCTAGTCGACATGACTTGCAAAACACAAAACACAATCTTCCACATTACAAATAGTACATTCTTAGTAATCCTCACTTCAAATGGACTCTTAGGGATCTCCTGACCACCATACGTGACCATGACGATGTACCGCCCTTCCTTCCATGGGTGGTAGACATACTCGAAAGTATATTCGTCAATCTGTTTCATCCGGACTGACTCTTCCTTGCCCCCTGGAAAGGATTTTTTGGTTAGGTATGCAAATGATGTTCTTTCCATTGAAAACATTCTATAATAATAAAATAATAATGATATTAATAATACTAGTAAAAATAATAATGATAATAATAATAATAATAATAATAACAATAATAATAATATTGATAATATAATGATATAACACAATGATATAACAGTAATAATAAAAATAATAACACGAAAAATAATAGTCATAAATATGATAATAACAAAGGTCATAACAAAAAATAAATATATATATGTATATATATGCATTCATATCTATATCATCAAACTAATATACATGAAAATTCATCAGCAAAAAATCTCTCAATGAAAAAAAAAAAAAAAAAAAAGTTAAATAAACAGATAACAGAAACAAAGCATCCAACTCTGATCGACTTGCCTGGCCCGATAACCCTGACTTCGACATTCCCTTCCCCGGCCCCTTCAGTGTAAACCTTAAAGTCGGCCTCGTCCTTGACTCTCACGCCATTCTGCTGAAGACCTCGCCCGGAGGCTCTCACCTTGCGGGCATCACACACTGGAAGGAGGGACGGGGATTAGTTTGGAGGGAATGCTTGCGGGATAAATGGGGTTTCTGCTTGGTTTTAGATTGTAAATATGGATAACTGACTTATTAGGATAATAATGATGGGATAACTATGTGACTACATTTGCGAAAACAATGATAGTGACCAGCAATAAAGAAATAAATAATGGTAATAACAAATCTAGTGATGATAATAATAAAAATTGCAACTCATAACTAAAAACTCAAAAAACAATTTGCTTAACACTCAACCAACACCTGAATAAATCAACCACCTGACCAACCCAATAATAAACAGACAGCAACAACCCACAACCATTGGCATTACCTGGGGACACCTTAACACCGAAGGGACTGCCTGGAATGGATTGTCCAGCAAAGAAGATGTTGATGGAATGTAGGCCGATGCTCGTGGCCACGTACTCGGAGCGGTACACGTCCTCGCTGACCTGTCGAGTCTTTACAAGCACCGTGTTCTTGAAGCCATCGGGGTCCAGAACGATGACTGACGGAGTACCACGACCTGCACCTGTACAGGGGAGAGGAAGAGGGGAGTGTGTGAGAACAGATGGTGGAGGAAGGCAATGGTGTGGTGTTATCTGTTGTGATGTGGAATCGTCGGATGGTGAAGATGGAACTTTAATGTGTAAAGAAGAACTGAGGTTGCCTTTATCTGTTATATTACATATATATATTTAAAAATAGATAAGTAAATTCATAAACATATTCATATATAGACATATGTATGTGTATATATATAGAGAGAGAGATACAAAAACAATAAAAATCATCATCAAAATAATATCTAAGAACACACTTTCCCAAAACAAAATTCAGTCTACAATATATATATAGCAGCACAAATAGCACCACATGAAAAAAAAAAAAAAAAAAAAAAAAAAAAAAACAAGATACAGTATTATCAGTTTTTTTTACCCTTTGTGAATACATCAAAGTAAGTTGGCTTGTTGATGACGACTCCCTCAGGCTCAAGACCTGGTCCTGAGGCTGTCACCTTGGTTGGGTCTCCGGCAAAGCCTGAGACGTTCACACGGAATGGAGACTTGGGGATTTCACGCCCACTGAACCTGTGAGAGAATATGGTTATTGTAGGTTTTCATGAATAAGATGACTATGTATGGATTCGGGACAGAGCCATCCATAAAATTCTTAAAAATGGTGGAAGGGAGACTGACATTATATATATGTATATATACATATATGTATGTATGTGTATATATATATATATATATATATATATATATATATATATATATATATATATATATATATATATATATATATATATATATATATATATATATATATATATATATATATATATATAATATATAAATACATATATATGTATATGTAAGTATATACATGTGTGTGTGTATATATATATATATATATATATATATATATATATATATATATATATATATATATATATATATATATATAATATAAATGTATATGAGTATACATATATACACACACATGTATATATACACATATGTATACATGTTTATGTACACATAAATGTATATATGTGTACATATATGTATATATGTATATACATACATACATATACATATTTATTTATATACATATATATATAAATATATATATATATATATATATATATATATATATATATATATATATATAAATATATTCATATATATTCATATATATATACACACATACATACCCACATACTTTAAAATCTACATAATCACATGCATATATTTAAGATCACAAGAGTATTTACACATATTGCAAGGGAAAAAAATCTTGTTCCTGGCCATTTCACTTACTTCACAATCACAACATAATCTCCCTCGCAGCTTGGAGTGTACGTGCAAGTGTATGTCAGATTACGATCATTGTTGAACTTGCACTCCAGCTGTAGAAAAGAAACAGAAATAATTATAACAAAAAACATTAAAACATCAGTCATAAATTCTCTTTCCCAATAGTGTGAATCAGAAAATCATCAGATTTAAGCGTACAACTTCATAAATAATATACTTTTTATATATCTCACTTCCCAATTCTTTTGCTGATCACTTTTTGTTTCTATATCCATGTCTGTATAAATGTCTGTCTGGTTGTCTGTCCACAAATCTATCTATCCAGCTATCAATCTATCAATCTATCCATCTAGCTATCAATCTATCTATCTATCAATCTATCAATCTATCAATCAATCAATCTATCTATCTACCTATCTATCCCTTTCTCCCTCTATATATACTCTTTTCTCCCTTTATACACCCACGCTATCACACACCCAAATACCCCATTCTGCCCCATTCCCCCCATCCAACACCCAACCCCACAAACCGAGGCCATTACTCACGTTCTCCACCTGTCCATCGGGCTTGTGCAGCAGGGCCTCCACCTTCCCCTTGCCCGCGCTGAAGGTCTCGATGGTGAAGTGTGTGGGCGCTCCAACCACAGGTCCTGTGGGCTCGACACCGGGACCATAGCACCTTACCCTAACCCATAAGGAGGAGAGAGTTAGTAGGCTCGTTCAGAAAATTTGGTTGGGATGTGCGTCTTTTTTTTTGTTGTTGTTGTTTTTTTTAATAGTGATAACAATAATGATATCAAGCAATAAACGTAACACCAACAATAAGAATAAACACCGATATAAAGTAACAACAGCAAAAGGGATAGCAATAATAATGTCAACAATAGCAAAAAACACAAACTATCTATAAATCACCATTAATCAATAATGGAATAAAATGAAGAGAAAAAAGGTGAAGTACTCGTGTATGACCCCATCTATTGCGAAAAAGAAAATATCATAAGAATCAGCACATCTATCATGAAAAAAAAAAAAATCATATAAGATCTATCCTCTAAAAATATATATTAGTCCCCATTACTTTAGCTCAAAGAAAAGAAAAGAGAACTGAAATTTGCTTTTAGTTATGTCAAATCTCCGAGATATAATTTTGATGGTTTCTGCAGTTCAACGTAATTTTTTTTGTGCTTGAGAGTCTCTATATTAAGTTCAGTTGTGACTATAAATTCCTTTGAACGAAAGAAAAATAATAATGAAAGTTATGAAGCTACTGTTGAAATATAATAATCTATAATTTGTCTACTTCTTCTTTCAAATACAAGTATCCATCTCGTACAAAACACAAAAAATATTTTTCTACTCAAACACAAATAAATACTTCTAATATACAAAATGAATCAATGCACTTTAAATACAACAAAAACAATCAAAAACAATCTGATTCTTTATCTTTCCATGCTGGACAATAGAAATAACACGTAAAATAACACCAAAAACACAAACACTATTTTGAATAACTTTATAAAAATCATAATGTAACAAGAAAAATTCTAAATCTCTCAGCACACCTGAAATCTTACAACCAAAAAGACAAAAAAAAGAAGAAAAAAAAGGAAAAAAAAAAGTGCAGATACCATTATTAAAACAATTAATAATATCATATAATAGATAAGAAAACACTAAAGTCTAAACGCACCCTAATTAGTTAATAACTCGCCCACCTATGACCAAGCAGGGAAAAATTACGTATCAAAAAGACGGGTTATTTATATAAAATAACTAAGGGGTTATGTAAACTAGCAGACTCCCACACTATTGATTATCACAGGGAGATAATGCATTAAAAAAGGTATTTCTTTTTGTTTTTATTTGTTTGTTTGTTTGTTTTAAGTCAAACTCCTATATTAGGTTTGTCTATGTCTTAGTAAACAGCTTCTCTTGGTAATGCCATTTCATTTACTTACATGGGATTTCCTGAAGGACTGGAAATTATAAAAAAAAAGTATTTGGGTATTATCTATGATTCTTTTTTCTATTTTGGTAAAAAAAAAAATCCTTTTGATGAAGACAACTGTAGCTAATCTATTGATTTGCTTCCAAGTAGATTTTTTTTCTATACTCTATAGACAGATATATTACAATTTCTTTGAATAGCCTCTCTAGAAATCAGTTGTAGATGTACTTATAAAATACATTGCATCTCTCTCTATCTCTATCTCTTTCTCTCTCTCTCTCTCTCTCTCTCGCTCTCTCTCTCTCTCTCTCTCTCTCTCTCTCTCACACACACACACACACACACACACACACACACACACACACACACACACACACACACACACACACACACATATTCAAGTACTGCTCTCTCTCAAGCATACACATACACATTCATGCATGCATACATACATATATAAATATTCTCTCTCTCTCTCTCTCTCTCTCTCTCTCTCTCTCTCTCTCTCTCTCTCTCTCTCTCACACACACACACAAACACACACACACACACACACACACACAAACACACACACACATATATTCAAGTACCGCTCTCTCTCAAGCATACACATACACATTCATGCATGCATACATACATATATAAATTCTCTCTCTCTCTCTCTCTCTCTCTCTCTCTCTCTCTCTCTCTCTCTCTCTCTCTCTCTCTCTCTCTCTCTCTCTCTCTCTCTCTCTCTCTCTCTCTCTCTCTCTCTCGCTCTCTCGATCCCCTTTCGAAGCTTCATTCACTCACCGGCCGGGGTTTGTCCGAGGGCGAAGAGGCGCCCCTGACTTGAGCTTCGAGTTGGGATACTGGGAAAGGTAGGTCATCATGGAAAGTTCATCACAGTTGGGGTTGACCATCTCCTCTGGTGTGATCAGCTGTTGAGGAAAAGGAAAAGATCAGTATGGCATGCAAAATGGGTCTTTGTTATCATCCCCATGTCCTAGAAGAAAATATTTGTGTAATATCATAATACGTGACAAAAAATGATCAAAAAAATCTGGATAATGCATTGTTCAAAAGATTCAAAAAGGTGAAAATAGATTTTTTTTTCCATATCAAATTGGTTGTGCATTTTCATTCAAGCAGACTACTTTCCACATAAAATAATCAGTCTCCTTCCAGCCTCTTTACAAGTAAATGAACATCCTTCTAGCATCTTCAAAAAAAAAAAAATAATAAAAAATAATAATAAATAAATAAATAAATAAATAAAAAATAACCAATCACCTTCAACCAATTTCCCATTAACAAACGATCTACTGGCAACCTTCTAACCAATCCCGTACTCATATAACCCCATAAGCCCCGCCCCATTCTAACCGACCTGAGGAACGCCCAGCCAATCATCGGCGAGGGTCATTGCTTCAGTAGCATTCTTCAGGGCATCTCCGGGCACCCAGTCTGGCCAATCAGGGCACAGACCGGCAGCCACGGAATCTACAAGAGCACCAACAGCACGGCCATCGTTCCAGTCGTTTGTGAAATTGGTGATGGGGAGGTCGGGCAGTTTGCTCTGGATCCAGTGAAGCAGTCTGGAAGAGAAGAGACAATTAAATATAACAATTAACAATTAACAATAAGTGTTAATGAGAGCTATACATAAATGTGTTAATCATACATTTTTCTGCTCGAAATAAATGAGAAGTGTAGATATTCTACACATTTAACGTTTAGTAATTTGAGATTGCTGTTGTTTAATATCTCTGAGAAATGAGAGTGCAGATTATAATAGCAATATAATAATATTAACAATTAGAATGGTGATGGTGATAATAGTAGTAGTAGTAGTAGTAATAACAACAATGGTAGTAATAATAATAACAATGGTAGTAATAATAATAAAAAATGGTACTGATAATAAAATAAAAAAATAATGGTAGTAATAATAATAAAAAAAATGGTAGTAATAATAAAAAATAATAACAATAACATTAATAATAAAAAATAATAACAATAACATTAATAATAAAAAATAATAACAATAACAGTAATAATCCTTAGTATATTCAGTATCCCCCACCAATCCCCTCGATAGACAGGATCAGAAAAATAATAGAGTAAAATTTTATTTAAAACACGAATTACGAATCAAATTACAATCTTAAAACAAAACAAACAAACAAAACAAAACGATATAAAAAAAAATATACACGTGTTCTACGATAGACACACGCATAAACAAAATCAAAACTTGTTTGAGTTATCTAAAAGCAACATTGAGTAATATTCTCAAGAAGGATACTATTCTTGAGGAGGTCTCCCCCCCCTCTCTCTCTCTCAAGAGGGTCCTCATCTTGAGTAGGATTTCTTCACGCTAAGGGACATCCAACTGTAAAATATTGCAACCTAGGATTTCATTCTCTTTCTCTCGCTCTCGTTTCTCTCTCTCTCTCTCTCTCTCTCTCTCTCTCTCTCTCTCTCTCTCACTCACTCCTCCCCGTCTCTCTCTCTCTCTCTCTCTCTCTCTCTCTCACTCCTCCCCGTCTCTCTCTCTCTCTCTCTCTCTCTCTCTCTCTCTCTCTCTCTCTCTCTCTCTCTCTCTCTCTCTCTCTCTCTCTCTCTCTCTCTCTCTCTCATAAAGGATATGGTTTTCCCACAACGATTAAAGATCTCTTTAGACACACTGTAGTATTTAAGGCCACGTTTTAGGGAGGATGAGCCAAAGGATATTAGGCTATCCTTTCGGTCGCTTCCAACGGCCTCGTGACCTTTCTGAAGGAGGTTCATCCCCGCCCCATAAAGTTTATCTTTTTATGTCCACTTGTTTCACGTCCTCAGCGGAGAATATGGTCAGCTGAAGAAGAGGAAATTGCATCGGGTTTTGAACTCATTCTAACTGCGTGTCTATCTTTCGTGATTGTTTTTTTTTTTTTTTTCTTCTTCTTCGTTTTCTCTCTTTACTTTCATTCTGTCTGTAACTCTAACCTCTTTCACTCTCCCTCTCTCCTACCTCATTCTCATTTTCTCTCTCTCATTTATTTTTATTTCAATTGCTCTCTCTTGCTCTCTCTCTCTCTCTCTCTCTCTCTCTCTCTCTCTCTCTCTCTCTCTCTCTCTCTCTCTCTCTCTCTCTCTCTCTCTCTCACTGCGCGCGCGCGTGTGTCTAGGTGTGTGTAAGTGTACGCGCTCGCGAATACGTATGTGTATGCATGCGTGAATTCCCGTACATGTCTCCATCTAATGAGGGGTGTGCGTATCTTTATCCCTAAATCTCCGTGTCTGGACGTGCGTGCCCACTGTACGTAATTCAGCGTCCGTGCCCCAAATAAGCCAATACCCACAGGCGCTTCCCCTACTTTCCACCCCCCCCCCCCACACATCCTACGCCCTCGGGACACCTCCTCCCCTTCGCCGCAGCATCCCTCCCTCCCTCTCCCTCCCCTCTCCCCAGCACCCGCCCACAGCGTCCCTCTCGCGTAGACGCCCATAACGAGATGCAATTAACGTCCGCTCAAAAGGCGCGGCCACACACGCCTCTTATCAATGCGGGAAATCTGAATTAATATCTCGAGCTTCTTGATGCCTGTGAAATAGAGGCGGCGATTTTGCTAACTATTTACTTTGTTTTTGTTTTGTTTTGTTTTTTTGTTTTCAAATATCCTTTTGTTAATTTTTTTTTTCATTTATTTTTTTGTTTGTTTATTCGAGTATTTGCTTTTTTGTTTTGTATGTTTGAGGATGCATGTGGATAGTAATGATGGACGGATAGGAAATAAATTCTCTTTTTTTTAGTTGTTTATTCTAGTGTTTGTCTTCGTTCTTCGTATGTATATTCGATTGCGAGGGTAGATAGAGGGACAGAAAATAATCAAAGAGATAAAAATAAAACAAAAAAAAAAAGCACATATCTACTGTGATGTGACAAAATCGCACGCATAATCACATACATCAAATTCATATAATCCACTCTATCACTTTCTTTCTTTCTTTTATCAATTTTTCTTCAATTTGCATACGAATTCCAAACCTCCCATCCCCCCCCCCGCTAAGCAAACTAAACCGATAACTAAAATATGTAATTTCCCCCCCCCCCCCCAATATACAGTCACCCATCGTCACTCTAGAAACGAACTATTACTAACTCTATCTGCACAGAGGATGTCCCGAGGGTGAAAAAGGGTGACCGGCGATTCGTACAAGTGTGTCAATAATGAGTCAGCATTGGGAGTGAATCAGAGTACAAACAAGGGAAGAGAGTGAGAGAGAGAGAGAGAGAGGGAGGGAGGGGGGGAGGAGGGAGGGAGGGAGAGAGAGAGAGAGAGAGAGAGAGAGAGAGAGAGAGAGAGAGAGAGAGAGAGAGAGAGAGAGAGAGAGAGAGAGAGAGAGGGGGAGGGGAGAGGAGAGAGAGAGAGAGAGAGAGAGAGAGAGAGAGAGAGAGAGAGAGAGAGAGAGAGAGAGAGAGAGAGAGAGAGAGAGAAAGAAAGAGAAGAGGAGGGGAAGAAGGAGGGAAGGGAGAGAAAGAACGAGACAGACAAACATTGAAAAAGGTAAAAACTTAAAATATCAATCACCACGAAAAAGAAAAAAAAACGAAAAGAACTACTAAATCAAAGCGCGAACAGGAAGCAACAGAAATAGAAAGAGAGAGAGAGAGAGAGAGAGAGAGAGAGAGAGAGAGATGAAAGGAACAAAATCCCAGCACTTGTATAAAATAAACATCATTACCATCCAATCCTCGACCCCAGGAAAGCAAAGGTAAAAGAAAACGGAACTCGGTCGTCAACAGAAAACGGATCCGCTTTATCCACGAAATCCCTTGAAATTAAAACCGTATCAACTTCTTTCTTTCATCTTATTAAACTACTGCCGATATCCTTCTAATTAGATTATTGTGCTAATTAGAATCAAACTTATTTTTTTCCTCAATTCGTATCAGATTACGAAGACAAGCTCGTATCGCTGTCAAAACATTTTAATTCCAACCGTCCGGCTAAATGTAAACATGAAAAAAAAACATCTCGTATTACAAGACAAAAAAAGAAAAAAAAAAATCCAAAGAATACCCCCAAAATATCAATAGATAGATAAATAAATAAATAAATACCGAGACAATAAATAAATAAATAAATACCGAGACAAATAAATAAATAAATAAATACCGAGACAAATAAATAAATAAACACTGAGACAAATAAATACAAAATACCAAGGAAAAAAAGAAAATTAATACCAATAAAAAAACAGAACAAATAAACACAAAATATCACATAAAAAAAAAAAAAAAAAAAAACGAAAACAAACCCAACACAACCAACACCAAAGAAAGAAAAAAAAGCCCCCCCCCCCAAGATAAAAGAAAGAGAGAAACACCAATAAAACTAAAAGGAAGTAAAAGAAAGACGAATAATAATAATAAAAAAAAGCAATCAGACGCGAATCGGACGCAGACGCAGACGCAGCCGAATGAATGTCCGCCATTACTCTCTCTCTCTATTAATAGGCGTGTAAGCGATCTCCCGCGCGCCAAAAGCCACGCTTATGAAAACAAAACTGCATTCCCGTTGACCGTCCTCTCTCTCCCATGTGGGGGGGGGAGGGGAGAAGAGGGTGTAGGAGGGGGGGATGGGGAGGGGAGAAGGGGAGTTGGGGAGGAGGAAGATGGGGAAGAGGGAGGGAGGGAGTGGGGCGGCGAGAGGGGGTGTTGGAGGAGGGAAGAGCAGGGGGTAGGGGGTGGGGAGAGGAATGAGGGGGGGAGTTGGGGGGAGGGAAGAAGGGGAGTAAGGGGTTGGGGAGGAAGTGGGGTGGGAAAAAGGAAGAAGAGGAATGGAAGGAGAAAGGGGAATGGGGGAGAGGGAGAAGAAATGGGGGAGAGGGAGAAGAAATGGGGGGGGAAGAAAACGGAGGGGGATAGAGTGAGAAAAGCGGAAAAGGGGGATGGGGATTCAGGGAGAAGAAGAAAGAGAAAGGGAAGGATAAAGGAGAAGAGGGGAAAGGAAGAAGAAGAAGGGGGAGACGAAAAAAGGAGAGAGTAGGAAAGAAGATATAAAAAAATAGAAGAAAAAATAATGAAAAGCAGTAGGAAGACTATAGGAAGGGGGAAGAAAGGGAGGAAGCAACAAAAAGAGTAAAAGGAGGAAGAAAATGAAGAGAAGGAAGAGGAGGAAGATGGGAAATTCCCTTCTTTCTTCCAATCTCTCTTTTTCCTCTCCCCCTCTCCCTTCCTCTCTTCTTCCTCTCCCTCCCTCCCTCCCCTCCTCTTCCTCTTCCTCCCTCTCCTCTTCCTCTCCCTCCCTCTAATCTTCCTGTTCCTCGCCCTCCCACTTCCTCTCCCTCTCTCTTCCTCCCCCTCCTCTTCCTCTTCCTCCCTCTCCTCTTCCTCCCTCCCTCCCTCCCTCCCTCTCCTTTTCCTCTTCCTCTCTCCCTCCCTTCTTCCTCCTACCCTCCATCCCTCCTTCTCCTCTACATCTCCCTCCCTCTTTTCCCTCTCCCTCTCTCCCTCTTCCTCTCCCTCCTTCCCTCCCTCTTCCTCCTTCACTCCCTTCCTCCCTCTCCTCTCCCTCCTCCCTCCCTCTCCTCTTCCTCTTCCTCTTCCTCTCCTTCCCTCCCTCTCTCTCCTCTTCCTCCCCCTCTCTCCCTCCTTCCCTCCCTCCCCCTCACTCTTTCCCTCCCTCCCTCTTCCCCCTCTCCTCTTCCTCCCCCCCCTCTCTCTTTTTCATCCCGATCGTGCCAACAGAACAAACATCTTTCTCTAATTAACTGGCGAGGGAGAAGGGAGGGAGAAGGGAGGGAGAAGGCGAGAGACAAAGAAGAAAGAACAACCCAGAAAATGTAAGTAACGAAGGAAGAGGAGGAGACGATAAAAGAAAACGAGTAACATTAATAATAGTAATGGTGGTGGTGATGGTAGTAGTAGTAATAGCAACATCAGTAGTAGTAGTATTAATAGTAGTATTAATAGTAGTAGTAGTAGCAGTAGTAGTAGTAGTAGTAACAAAACAACAATAAAATAATGATAATAATAATAATAATAATAATAATAATAATAATAATAATAATAATAAAAATAGTGATAACAATAATAATAGTAATAACAATAATAACAATAACAATAATAATAATAATAATAATAATAATAATAATAATAATAACAATAACAATAATAACAACAGCAGCAACAAAAAAAATAATAACAATAATAATAACAACAACAGCAACAACAACAAAAATAATAAAAACAATGGCAACAACGAAGACAAATCAAACGAGAAAAACAAAGAAAAAACGCGATTGAATGCGCGTTCAGTTGTCCTTCATGCTTGCAACATTTAGCGCGTGAATGAGTTTGCGGAGAAAGGAAAGAAAGACGAAGAGGAATAAGAAAAGAAAGCTAAGAGGAGGGGAAAAGGAAAGGAATAAAGGTGAAAAGGAGGAGGAGGGGGCGGAGGAGGAGGAGGAGGAAGATAAGAAGAAGGAAGAGGAGGAGGAGAAGACGACGACGACGACGACGACGACGAAGAAGAAGAAGTAGAAGAAGATAAAGAAAAAAGAAAGCAAGAAATAGGACTTTTCGTTCCGCCATTCAGTCCTATAATATAATTTATAATGATGATGACGAAGATGACCATTAAACAAAACAAAACAAAAATAATAACAATAAAAAAAGAATAACACCAATAACCAATAACCAAAAATAAAATAATAATAACAACAATAAAATAAATAACACCAATAACCAACAACCCCCACAAAAAATAATAGCAATGAAATAAATAATAAATAACACCCATAACCAAGAGCCAAAAAAAAAGAAAAAAATAGTAACAACATTAATAATAAACGAATTGCGCATAAAAAAAACAAAAAAACTCGTGATCCGCAAGCAAGCAAGCAAGCCTACCTCTGTTTTGGCGTGGGCCCTTTCTCCCCGGGCGCGACTTGGTCCTCGCCCTCCCACATGGGCATGGAGATCGAGTAATGCAAGATGAGCGTCCATATCAAGCCCAGAATCAACTTCAGCTTGCAGTCGACGATGTCCGTTGAAT